AAGATTATCACAATGATATATTATAATGTTCGCAACAAGGAAGTATGATAAGAGGTTTTCTTTTTTTTGGGGTTTTAATTAAACAATAACAAAGTAATTGTTCTTGACAATGTAATGATTAATACTAGAAATTAACATTTATCAAGTTTGAAAAAAAAGCTATTTAGTCAAGTTAAGGCTAATCAAAAAGATAAAGAAGGCTATTTAGTCAAGTTAAGGCTAATCAAAAAGATAAAGAAAGCTATTTAGTCAAGTTAAGGCTAATCAAAAAGATTTAGTTTCATTTTTGAATGAAAAATCTTTTTTTGAAAAAAATTTTTTTTTTTTAAAAATGAAAAATCTTTTTTTCATGATAAAATAATTTTTCCGGTATTTTTAATATTCTAAATATGCTATAAGTGTTTCGTTATTTCACTATAGATGTAAATTATTGAGAATAAGAATAAGAATATTAAAATTGGAAGCTAAAATTATAATGAGCAAAGAGAGTGTGTAGAATGAATGATACGTAAAGAGGGAGGATAGTATATTGAGAGGTAGAATTGATATGATAGCTTAGTGAAGATAAGGAATAGTGGATGTGCTTGTAGATGGTGATTTGATCAGATAAGGGACTAGCTTAGCTTGCTTAGATAGATGAGTTTTATGAAGAAGCTTTTCTGTTCTTCTTTCTCTCCCCCCCCGCTCCTCTCTTGACCCATTCTTGTCCTGCTATTCCCGTTGCTTCATTTTCATGAATGTTTGAAAAATAATGATAGCTGATGAGATGGAGATGCCTTTGCTTATCTCTTCCTTTCAATCATTTTTCCCCTTTTCCTTCTATCTTTCACTTTTCTTCCATTCAAATATCACTACTGTGATCCGTTTTATTGTCCTCCCTATGCTTATAAGATTTTAGGCCTGGTTCTATTCTATTGTTGAACATATCCAACATTATTTCGCTTTTTCTTTTTTTATCTCACCAATTATTGATATTACCTATTTCAATCATACCTTATATTTATAGGTAAGTTATCTTTCTTATATTATTACTCAAATACTTCCTTTCATTCTCATAACAATATACTTATGCTAATTTTCTTCAACTAGACAATATTACTTCCAATAATTCACACATACAAAGCAAAAAGTTATTCATAACATATTATGAGTAAGCATTAGATATGTATGAATAAGTTGTTGAATCATTTTAAATAATTCAGGTGAGGGGGAATCATTTTGAACAATAGAAATCATCATCATCATCATCATCATCAACATCGTCATCATCATCATCAAAAAATGTGTGATATAAATGATAGAAGAAAATCACGACGGAAACAATGTACTCCATCTCGTCATTCAAATATTGGTACAACTGTTGTAACTTTTACACCGGATGATGATAATAATACAATTATTGAGAGTACAACGATCAGTAATGGTACGACAGTATTAAAGCAAGTAAGTAATAAGCTAATATCATTAAGTTATTAGACTGGAATTAATGATAGGTAAATTATTATAGGCTTTTATTCAAAAATGATCATTTTAATTTCTTTGCTTTTTTCATTTCAACAAGCACTACACTATTAGTTGTGAAAATTCATTCATTCCTTCCTTCAATCATTTCAGAATTATCTCTTATGAATTAATTTACGAGAATTAAATTACACAAAAAAAAAAAAAAAAAAAAGAAAATCAACGACATGCGACAATCCGCAATCCCACGATACTTGAATATATCTTGAAGGTCACTTTAGTGAGCATTGTTCTCTCAATCGTGGGATATTTTGCATTTTCAATTCTGCAGAATTCTATTTTATAAGACCGAAAGATTATCTACTTTATAAATGACGGTTAAAGATTTTATTAGTTATAGTTACTTTAATTGGAAAAATGATTGAATTAATTAGCAAACAAATCTTCAATAATTTGATTGCGAGCGAAACTACAGTATTCTCTGGTATTCTACAGTATTCTGCAATACTACAGTATTATCTACAGTAATAATGTACTACAGTAATAACGCAATACTACATTATTATATGCATGTAGATCATCAACATATTGGGGAAGTTTCATTTTAATTTCATATTTTAGGATCGGAAAAATGCTCAAGAAGAGACTAATAATGAAGGTTTGCTTGAATGTGGGCAATACTTGCAGCAACAACAGCCTGTTGATCCAATTCAACGACTGTCACCCTCTACAGGTATTCTCTTCATTCATAGTGTTGGAAATATTTTTAAATGTTGACGATCACAATTGTATCTACCATTTTTGAACTGAAATTTCTTTTTGAGCATTATTTCAGTTTTGATAAAATTATCACAAATTTTTTTTTAGCATCTTCAACATCATCCTTATCAACTTCTGCTGATAGCGCTAATCAATCATTTGATGCTTACCGGAAAGAAATGCACACTGATCAATGCATCAATCCGATCCATACCTTATATCTTCCTGTTGCTTTCCATAATCATTCCGTTAATAATATTCAGGTGATGCTTTAATAATTGTTTACAGTAAAATGAAAATATGTGAAGATATCCAATCATTTCTTCATTTTCATTCTTCCCATTTACCTCATTCATGTTACAGTACTTTTTGCAACAATTTTTATCTATTTACTTTTTTTTTTTGTTCAACTTTTACCTATCACATAATCAATAACATAAGCTGATAAGTGATATTCAAGGGTTCAAGGGAAAATTTTTGCTGCAAAATATTTTTTGTTTTTTCTTTTTTTTTTTTTTGAAATTTTTTCTTACACAAATATTATATCTGGAACAACTCCTATGACAGTTTATCATTTTTAATTGAATAGCAGGTAAATTAGATGGAATGCTTTTACGGCTAATGGAAAAAATAATGGATATGGGAAAGGTTTGAACAATCATGGCATTCATCAATCGAGACGGTTTTACATTGAATAACTATTAATAACTGCTAATTACTATCGCAGTAATTATTTCTTAGAAACAAAAAGAAAAAAAACGAGAGAGAAAGGGATTTTAAAGATACATATCAATTGATAAGATAAGAGAGATAACTAAGATGTGTAAATTTCACAAGAATGAATAAAAATTTTTCCTTCACTGAAGAAATATGCAAATATTACCAACAATAAATTAAACAAAAAAAAAAAATTATATAAATGGAATAATTTCATTGAAATTATGATCAAATGATATCTTAACGATAAGAAATTAATGAAATATTAACAGATTGAAATGACCAATTTAAAGTAAAAGACGAATGAATGATTTAGTCAATCTCTAAAATGATTCATTAAATGTTTTTCATTATGGAAATTAAAAATAACAATTTAAGTTTTCATTTTTATTCCCATATTTCATTACTGTTTCAAGTGCTAAACTTATATTTATTTGGTTTGTTTTAATTTTATTAGTAAAAAAGATATGGGTCACATTTTGATGTGCTTGTGATACGCATTAAATTCTTCTACACCGATCATTTTCAAAGATTACTTACCTGGATTGGCTCTTCGTATAAAATAACGAAGGAATTAATTTAATTTAATTACCACCTGAAAACTATTATAGGTATTGGGTTATCCGCAGGTGTTAATTCCGGTAGCTATACATCCTCATGCCCAAAATATTCTTAAACCATGTCTATTTATCGATGAATTTATGGCTCGTAATATCACGATTCCAAATCAAATTTGTTTCGGTGAAACAAGATGTCTCCTAAATGTCACTGCCATGCAACAGCCCTTTTCACAAAATGCTTATAATATCCCATCGGCATCCAGCACTGTTTTTCATAACAATAATAATAAGAAAAGGTATACAAATATGTTAATTACGTTAAAAATTATTTATTAATTATAATACAAACATAAATGAATATACATACTTTAATGCATCTTTCATTTATTCCATCTTTTTAAAAAGCATTTCTGATCAATATATGACATGATCATTCTGAGTAGCTTATTATGATCATTCAAATATATTATGATCATTCGTTTTGATTATAAAGTAGATGCAATCATCAGTTAATACAAGAAATATTATAAACTTTCAAATGATATCAATAAATAAGAAATTAAAAACTATAAAATTTATCATAAGATTAATTATGATAACAGAAAAAATAATAATAATAATTAAACATTGTAATATAACGTTGAAATGTTTTTCAGTATAATTATCCTACAAATTAATTAATTAATAATGTTAAGAAAAGGGTTATCATCGAATGGTATAAGAAAAAAGCGAAAATCATCCAATGATTTGAAACCATTAGATTTGACAGTACGCATTAAACAATTTCGACAAAATGCTAACAGTAGTAGCAGTAATTGTGATAGCACTGAAGAAGATAATTCTACAATTGTACGTTTTATTCCTTTTTTTTCTTTTTTTTTTTTCTTTCTCGAATTCATACCTATAAAAGGCGAAAATAAATGTTAAAAATTATTATAGAAAAATTTTACAGGATAAATTGTTACCTTCTGAATCAGATAAGAAATATCGATGTGATTGTGGTGTGTCATTTAGTAGTGAAGTGACATTGAATGGACATAAAAAGTATTATTGTCATAATAATGCTAAACAAGCAGCACCATTTCGAGAACCACAAAGAAAAGTATCATATCCTTCATTTCTTCTAATCCTATCATTATTTATGCATTTTTCACTTCCTAATACACTTTCTTTTTTTTTTTAACTAAAATAAATAGGATGATAAGCATTGTTAACTCCTTTTTTTTATCAGTTAATTATATCGATAACATTTATCAATCCAGATAACATATCACTGTCAACAATGTGATTTCTATATTTTTCAACTTTAAATAGAATAGAATGATAAGCATTGTTAACTCCTTTTTTTATCAGTTAATTATATCAATAGTATTTATCACTCCAGATAACATATCACTGTCAACAATGTGATTTCTTACCAATAAGCGCTAGTCAATTAGCTCAACATGTTCGAATAAATCATGCTACAGTTCAAGCATATGTTTGTCAGATTTGCGGTTACAGAGGTTATTCTCAACGGGGTATTCGATCACATCTCAGGTAAGCTTGTTAATATAAAATTTTAACTTATTTAATTGAATTTAATTTAATTTAATTTATTGTAATATGAAAGAATACGGGATTGATTGATACAATTAGATTTGAAAAATCAAAAAAAAAGAACACGCCATTAGCGTATTACTTCCACTTTGCTTGAAAAGCATCATTTTCTTCATCTATTAATTTTAAATAGCTTAAAATTTAAATTGTAATAAATTAATATTTTCATTAAAAATTAAATAATACATATTATACCGGTATAAATTGATGTTTAATTGAGATGAATAGTTTAAGATTGAAATTTTAATTTATTTGTACTCTATTATATAGTTCTCATTATTGTTGTAAATTTGATGAATGATAATAATTAGAACACATTTAAACGATGTCTAGAGTTTTTTTTTTGAATCCAAAAAATATTAAATCTAATCAATTAACTTCTCCAACCAATCAATCATTTCGATTATTTCAGGACTCATACAGAATATGCGGATGAAAAACCGGATGATTTAATCAATTCACATGTTCATTTTATAACTACAGAAACAAAACCAGCACAATGTAGTAATTGTTACAAGAATAAATAAGCTTGTTATTGAATGCAACTGTGATCAACAAATTTTGCTTCAATTTTTGAAAAAAAAAAATCTTTGATATTTGCTACGCATTTCTTTTCAAGACAGTATATTTCAATACATTTAGAAGGATATTTTAATCTAATCCACCATTAATATCATTAAAAAATGAAAATGATAAAAACAGAATGTCTTATCAAAGTTACCGAAAAACTACTTATATTCACTAGAAACTCTTTTTGCACTTCCTATTGAAATTCAATAGAAACACTTTTGCACTTCTTATTGAAATTCAATAGAAGTTTTCTTTTTTTTTTTTCGCATTTCCTCCATCACAACAGCATGGGAACCTATAACTGGTACAAGCCTTATCTATTTTCGCTATTAAAACCAACTCCAATCCCATATTATGAGTTTATAAAGTGGAATTATATCGATTATACTTATCCGGACTATTTATTTACTTCTTATTTTGATTGAAACACATTAAAACTAGCTCATTCAAATATTACTTATAACATTGATTTATTATCTTTCAAGTTTAAATTATATCGAAGAGTGCCACAATCACCCCGGATGATAATTATTTGCGATATTCCAACAACCATAATGTATATAATTAATCTTTGCATGAATATTTTTTTCTTCAATAGATTTTTAAATTTATTATCCACAAATTGTCAGAATAAATTAAAAAATAAGGGTAGAGGAATGTATTTACCATAATAAAGAAATGGAAAAAGTAAGAAATGAAATAAAGTTTTCATAATGACAAGAAATAGTACTTCCTACTTTCCAATAGTCATGTCAAAAAATTGAATAATTTTGAATGCTCTATCCGTGGATCAACCAACCTCCGAAAAGATAAATGAAAATGAAGTAAATGATTGCTTGGGTATTAAAATAAGCATTAAGATTAAATAAGAGCTTCACCAGTTCCTATTTAAGTATTGTTAATTATGGCTTCTAATAACTATACTACTTATATTACCATATGTGATTCCGTGTGAGATCCGATATTGATTTTCACAAGCAGAATAATTACATGTAGAATTGTTTCGGAATTCGTTCATGAAATTTCAAATTCAAATATTTCACAAAAGGAAAACGTAAAAAAATTTCAGCATTAAATGTGATATTCATTTCCAATCATATTTACTATCATTTGCATATTCCTATGAAACATTCTGGTTTCCTTCATTTTTGGCTGACTCAAGAAAACTCCTGAAAACTCCCAGTTATCTCGGCTTGAATTAGATAGTGAAGGGAAGTAGAAAATGGTGAACATTTAATCTCAATACCATTCTAATATTCAAACAATCCTTTATCTCATTTATGTATTCGGAGGTAAAACAAAAATTTACAGCTGAACTGATGGGTTCTTCATCCCTGTTATCATCGATCCATGGACAAAACACATTATCGTATTTCCTCGTCAAATCTTATAAATTCCAAAAAAAAAAAAAAAATTTCGAGCTTATAATCAGGAGATGTCTAATTTGTTATAACAAAATATACATTTATTCATGTGGAAAAATATGCTATTTTATGATTCCAATAGACATACTAAATATATCCACCTCAATTAAAGCTTACGTTTCGGTACGAATACTCGGGAAAATAATGCTGTTTAGCCCGTTGATTAATCGAACTGAAAGAACAAGAATCTCTTCCTTTTTTTTCTTTTTTTTTTATCAGCATCAACTGCATATTTCAGTAATGTGCGGAGAAATGTAATTCATTGCTTAATAGCCGGATGTGATAATACACTACACCTTCTTAACTTCCACTCGATTACCAGTTGATAGTAGCACTGCTTCCCATATACCACGCAAAGTATACATTATCACAACTTTTTCCGTTCCGACAGGATTGCGATTGCTCAACGGGAAGTAGCGCAACGAGCTAAGATTCATGATTATGGTATCCTGGTGAAAGTAATAATCAACCTGGGTCTGAAATGAACAGTCTAATAATCATGCATCTCTCTTGAATGGAAGCCCATTCAAAATTTCATTTTTCAAATTTCATGGATCCTTTAACTAAATAATCAAATCATGCTGCAAATAAATTTATTTAATTTAAAAGAACTTACGTTTCATTGTGAAGTGGATCAATTGGTTGGCCAAGAACAACGATAAAGCTCGTTCCAGCCTGATGTATATTACTAAACTTTGAATAACAATTCAATATTTCAACAATACAATGACTTCCACGTTCTACGAATCTTGACTGCAATTTATTGCATTTTCTTCCATGAGTTAGTAAATTTTCATCGCATTCACTCCAACTTTTCAGGTGATGGCTCACAATTCCAGCAATCCAGAAAAGTAATAATGCTAGCCAAATCAGAGAGCAAGGAGAAAGGATTCGTGAATGTCATTGTCTTGACCACTGTTATACCATCACCGTCTGTTCCACTTTTTAAAGTGTATCTCCTCCGTCGGATGTTGCATATACTCATTTTTTTTTTTAGTGGTTTTTAAACAGACTCTTAAATACATTCAACACCTACTTGGAAACTACGGGGGAAAATAAAAATATCAGAAATACGTACTGAGACTGACATCTTTCTCCACTTAAAAGTGTATTGATCGTTATCACAAATGTTATCATATAAAGAATCAACTGAGCAATCATAACGAATACTTCAGAAGAAGAATTGCTTTGTTAACCAACAATGATCTACGAAGAGGAATATACCGATGACTTTTAACCTCTGCGAAAGCCTCTACTTCCATTGCTAGCTTTATATGCAGAACAAAGACAAACCTCATCCATTTCTTCCACACCCTGCTTTCTTTCCCAGTGATTGTTGACAATGTAAATGGAAGTACCTCAATCAGATCGGTGCCATTTAAAGAGTTGGAAACATTAAATGAAGTATTTCAGAATTACTCTAGCGAACTTACATGTATCCAATGTATCCCTTATCCCTCGTACTTTTAAACTTTGAACAAAACGTAAACCTGTTGAAGGTGTCAGCATTTTTAATGCGACATACAATTTACATGAAGAGTGGGATGCTTATTATCAGATTCTATCCAGAAAAACACAACTTCAATATATCTTGTATATATTATACCTACCAGGAGCTACTTTAGGTGCAAACTTTCCACATCTTTTGATATTAAAACAAAGAAATCCTTGAAATATATAATCGATTACTTAAATAAATCAAACGCTTAACAAAACTAAATAAAAAATAAAGTGCATCATAATTACTTGTTGTTCTAATCGACCCGACTGTTTCAGTTTAATTCAATTTATTTGCATCCATTTCAGTTCACTTTAAGTAAACCGATGCGTTTCAAATGTATTTATGTCAATCGAACTGGATTCAATTTGATCCAGTTTAGCTTAATTTAACTTAATTTAGCCCGTTCTGATTTAGTTTGGTCCAATCCAGTGCAGAGGTCACAATCTGACCTCCTCTCCTGTTTCAGCACAACACTGACCCTGCCTACCCCTACTCATTTAAGTATTCGTCAATCCAACTTCCAATTGATAAGTTAACCATGAGGCTCTTCCGTTACTCGGTGTCCCCCTTGAAAGAATATCTGTAAGGTGTGGTACCTGTGAATTAGCAGAGAATTTGGTTAATCTGTAGTGAGAAGAATCCCTAAAATGAGTTCTGTGATTCAATTCCATTCAGTTCAGTTCACAGATCATAAGCCAGACTCATATTGCATGTTCCTGTGATATATAATGAGATTAATCTATACGCTATGAGAGAATGTTCGACCCGAATTATTACATACTGTCTGTGAGGGAGAGGATGGCTTAACTTTACTAAAAGTAATATCATAATCTGGCAGTAAAAAAAGAAAAAACAAATCTCAGATTACTTTTCCTGATCGGACCGTTCCTAATATGAGTGTGTCATTTTACTCTCAGGTACTTGTCAATCTGGCATGCGTTAACTCACGTTGTTGAAGCTGTTCGAAATTGAAGAGCTTTTTGACTCAATCGATTTACTCTTTTAGAAAGGAATGTGGATAAAGAGTAAAAGTTGAAAATTTACTTCAAGTAAACCCATTTCAGGCATATTCCATTAGGTTAAAAACTCACGCATCATCCCCTTCAGCGTTGTGCTATTCCTTCTACCTAACTTATACTTTGTCGGTTATAAGGTAAAGTGAGTCTGTACTTCATAGTTTCATCTTACTTTTCAACTTCCTTAGCATTAAAGTAAAGATTAAGTTTGATTTATACGAGCTTTACAAAAAAATCATTAGGTATTGATTTTTCAACTTAGTCAATAAATTTTGGGCGACCGTTTTCCAGATTGACGTGACGCAACTTCACTTGATATAAGGATGGCTGCATCTGCGAAATGCTTTCTGTAAACCATGTTGTGTTTGTCATGTTGGGAAAAAAATTTTTAAACAAAAATAATTGCATATATCATCTCCTTTCTCACATATATCGACCCTTTGATCGGTGGTACCTCTCAGCTGATCTGTTGTATTTGTCGATTCAAGTGAAAATCTATCTCATTAGTCTTAATTTATCGTTCTGTTATTGATCCTATCAATATCTTTCCCATTTTTTCTTTTCATGAATACGTTGGATAGCTCGCAATTGTTCATCTTTTACTGTTATCGTATGAGTCTTTCCAATTATTACCGACTGAAAAGATGAATGAAAACATCTTCCTTTGTAGCTGGAAAAAAAACTTCACGTAAATCTGCAAATGGCTCGAAAGTACCACTCGAATTATAGCAGTCTTTAACGTATTGTAAAATAAAAAGATCTTAGCTGTTCCTTATTATTAAACGTGTGAAAAACGGAAATCTTACCACACGGACCAGTCCGGTTGAGCAGGTCAACGATCGATGGTTAATTCGTTGGTGACCGACAAAGAGATCAACAGACATGCTTAATACTTAGTGGTAGAGAAGCGTGTAAAATTTGCATAGAAATGATCCATACATGAGTTGAATACTTACTTCTGAAGGATAGTTAACCTCTTTTAGTTTATTCAAGGTTCAACTCTAAAGACAGAAATGGCAGTGCACGTATGGTATCTCAAACGATGAGACGTGAACTTAATTCAGCATCTGGGTGTAGCTGCAACGACTTTCATTCGTCAAATAGTGATACTTTCGGGCGATTCAGATGGATTCAGGATCTTGTTAGTTCCCTGTTCAGAGAGATAGTTTAGGTTTCACTGGTCGAGGCTCCTCTCGACTTGAAATTTCATTTCTTCAATATAAATGCTATATAAACGCATGTAGATGTGCTGCAGATGAGTTTAAATATATGGCTGATTTTAACAATCGAAGTTTGGCTTGTTATATTTCTAGATCGTTGAATGTTCTTCTGAAATGTTGTGCAGGAATTCGAGGGTTTTTACTACTTTTTAATGCAATTCGTTTATGGCTACGCCGATTCTCTGCGGTTTACATTAACTCTTATACGGTCACGTATGGCGCTGGACTTACATTAAATCGTTTACGGTCATACGTAGCTCTCTTCATTTACGTGCACCTACGTGTGGAAGGTACACATATCTGACTTGTTATATGCAGCATTAGTACTAATACATCCAATAAGCTAGCGGCCTTAACCGGCTTTTGATAATGAGTACGATTAGAAAATCTGAATCAGATTTTCTTCATTTTTAATGAAAACTGTGAATTTCATAGTCCATTTTTACATTCTTAAGCTCTTGTCGGACTAATCTTACCTTTTCTACGTTCCATATTTATCTGTATCTAAAATCGGCATATCTGGTCTCACATAGATGATAAAATAAGAATGCGACATTTGCAGCACTAGTTTAATGAAATACGAACTTTTTATCGTATTTACCATTCATTGTTTTTCGGATACTTTCACTCTTCCTTCGTTGTTATGCACGAGGTTAGAAACTCTATGATCTATTCGCAAAGTTTAGTTTAAAGTTTAATTTCAGGATTTTAATCGTAATCTTCAAGAAACGCCAGTACAATGGGCGTTACAAGTATGTGGGAATATGTGCAAAAATTTGTACAACCTGTAAACATATCTGCATTGCGGAACAAACGGATTGCCATAGGTTAATTATACATGTTTTTCAAAGGACCATTAAGGAAGTTCAGCCGTAATTTCAATAAAACATTTGCTTGCAGTTTATCCATTCAGGCGTATTTAACTAACATGGACCATATTACACCTGACATAATTAGATGATAAGTTGCTATACTATTATATATGAAGACGTTATCATCTTTTTTATTTACATTGAAAAAGTTATGTGTTCGGTTATAAACAAATACTTAAATAGAGGAAGGAAAAATTTCGAATCGAAGAGAAGAAAAAAGGAAAGGATTAATTGACCAGTTAAGATCTTTTTTTCACTTTAGATGGTCACACTTGGCTATGTGAGGTATTACGTGGCTCAGTAGCACACTGTTCAACAGCTCGAAAGCCATATTTAAGTACATTTTACACACGATGTCGAAGTTTGTTGGAAGAAGGTGTTGAACCTATTGTTGTTTTCGATGGAATTGATGAGGAAGAGCGGGCAAATGTTTGTTTCTTCTTATTACTTTTAGGGCACCATAGCTACATTTTTGTAGATTGAGTACTAAGACAGTTCCACCTTATTTTTGAGGTATATATTGATTTCAGGTAGATTACGGGGTTACTTCGATGAGAAAAGTTAGGAAGCGTGGAAGCAAGTATTGGACATCAGAACTAAAGCAAGAAATGGTACCAAAAGTTGAAGAAATCAAGGTAGGAAATTGAGAATTTCTGTGCAGTTCACAAGAAAACATTTCTGATCTTCGAAAAAGCCCAACTTATGAAATCCTTAAAGAAATTGATTCAGCATGTCAAGTACTGTGAAAAATCACAGTGTGTTAACTGCAATAAGTTGAAATAATTGATAGGTTTAGTAGTAAGCGCAGCTAGCGGTGTAGTTTTTTGACTCTGTCGTGAATTTCAACATAAAGCCAACTCAAAATCGTTCCGGTATATTTGCGCTGTCACAAATTCGAAATACGGTAAACTGTTTGAAAGTTTGAGAATGAGAATACATATATTTTAATCCGTCTGAATGGATTGGTTTTCCTACTGAAATTCAATGCAGAACGTTCCAAGATAAGAAACATAAAGGAGAGATTGTTTGAAGATGTTGTTAAATTCGATGGGGGTTCGCTGGATGGAAAGTAAGTTGGAAGGTGAAGCGCAGTGCGCACAGCTTGAGCAACGAGGCTTAGTGCATGGTTGCATCGCACGAGATTTCGATTATATTCTTTTTGGAGGGAATAATCTCTATCAGGCAAGAGTGACTTATTTCTTCCAATTCAGAACAGTTTTTAAAATTCTTGTTTTAAGGTTTTTTTTTTTAGCTCCATTATTATGCCTTTATGGATAGTTGAATTAAAGAGGCTCTCCAAATTTAAACTTAGGTTCGTCGGCCTTGGACTGTTTGTCTGCATGTAATACCGTGCCAAAAAGTACATGCATATGGATTATGCACGTCACGCACGGAGTCTCTATTTCTCCGGTAGGATGGTTTTTTTATCTTTTAAATTTTCGGAGAAGTGGAGAAGTCATTTTCAAAATCATGTGTTAGGAATAAACTAAGTAATATTTCTCATTCCTTCTAAAAATTATACCTTTATTTAAGGTCGAATTTGGTTTTAGTGGCAAGATACAGAACAACATCCTTCATCTTTCCATGGATTACCTGGATGAAACCTTGTGCTTGAGCAGGTAAAACCATTGCCATTCCAGGAGGTTTTTGAGAGTAATAAAAGAGAAGCACTGAGAAAATTTCAAATCCTATTAAGTAACAGCTAAACTGATTGACATTACATCTTATAATAAAAAATATATGGTTTGAAGTAGTCATTTTATTCCAAATTTAATTTATTGGTTAAGGTTCTGGTAAAATTTTCTTTTCTTCGCTTTCTTTTGTCCATGCAAAGTAAAACTTTTACCAGAAAAGCTGAGGAAAGAATGAAGATCGTACAAATTAAAACAAATCAGGATACAACCATTGTAGATCTTGCCTTATCGCAATGACAATCATGATTGGTTGTGATTATGCTCAAAAAGGAATTCCTGGTGTTGGTTTAGTTACAGCGTTAGAAATTGTTTCCGAATTTTATCTCATGAAACACGATCATCCGCAAGTCATTTTGGATAGATTTAAGTAAGTTATACTTATCCATTCTTTTTTCTAGTTGGTGTTTGTATGATTCTATTTTCAGTGTAAACAACGCTTTCTGAATAAGTTTCTCAAGCTTTTATATGGTCGATAATTCCATATATAAGAACACCAGCAATAATATGCCTCAGATTATGCTTATTTGTAACAATTTAGGTCTTATACGACGGAAATGCTTCCAGTACGCGATTATGACAGCAATGTTAAACGGAAATTGCGACTTAGTGTTAATAGAAATTCCATAGATTTACGAAATTTCAATCCGAACTCAGATGCTATGTCTAACGCAATCAACATTTATATGATGCCGGTTGTTATTGAGTATTCTCGTACACAGCTACCCAAAAGATTGCCACCCAATATACAAAAAACTGAAGTATGTCCTTGAAAGTTGCGACAGTCTTCTCAATGTTCTAGATTATAGAAGACATCATGAACTTTTCATCCATGATCACCAGAACAATTTAGTCATTTTCTGTAGTACGTATTGAGATGATTGCACGACGGTATACTGAATGTAGAGCCGAACTGATTATTATAACAGCTCATATCCTGAAGTTCTAAGAACTTCGAAAAAAGTTTTTCTTCTTTTTTTCTTTTAAATAATCTTGCACAGAGCTGTTATAATAATCTTTTTGGTTACCTGGTATTACTTGATGGTCGTGCTATTCACTTTGTCTGCTGATTTCACTTTGCTTGTCTCTTCTATCACAGATAAGCAGAATATCCTGGCATAAATACTACATATCTACTTCTTGATTTGAAGGAAATATTGATGCGTGAATGTAACTGGAAGCCAAATGGTGTTCACTGCACACAGAAGCTGCAAACAGATGCGGAGAGAGTCGAAGCAAGTTACACTTTCAGTTATTAGTATCTTCTAAATTTTTATCCAACAGGCGAATTGAGAGCGATAATTTGTGGTGTTTTCAGGCTGCTAAATAAATTTTCTCCATTTGTTTGCTATTTAGGGTATTTGTTGTTTTCTGCTTTTCATGAATCTCACGAGTTATTTAGAAGTGTACAACACTTACGAAAGGAGGACGTACTGCTTGCTCAAAACGTGAACGAGTTGCTATGGAACGTCTGCGTGTGAACGCTTTGCTTTATAAACACAGTCCTGTACGTCCCTTAAGTTTTATCTTGGGAAATAGAGTATAAGGATTAAATTACGTTGTCGATTCTCTTATAAGATACTGATTTTCTAGTAGTCTCGCAGATAAAAGGTTTTATTTGCGATTAAGTGCAACAACTTTACCTTTCTGTCAAGTGTAAAAAGTAATGCAAGTTCGTCAAAGTATCGGTGCTGGGTATTGTCTAGCCATATTTATTCTTTTACCTTATGCCAGTCATATTTCGTAGGTATAATTCTTTTTTTTTACCATGTCTGCCAAAATTTCTTGGACTTTCAGTATGTTGGTTTTATATTATTCAGATGTTAACGAATATAAGTTTATTTCATATGAGCAAAAGTACAAAAGTTGCGGATTTCGAGAATCTTATTTCTTCTATGAGTTAAATGTTTAATTTTATTATTGCAGGTGATAGAAGTGATCTCAGTACCATCAACTTCAGAAGACGTGAATCAGCTGAATGGTGAAAGTAGTGGTGTAATTGTCTCAGCACAACGAGATGCAGTTCAACGAAGTGGACGAAAAAAAGGAAATCATGAAATGGCTGATGTGCAACAACCACCACCTAGCAAAATTCCTCGAAAAGATGGTTTTGTTACAAAAGTGAATGCTTCTAATATAAATCAGGTACAGGTACAACAGATATCGGGACAAAATGAACCGATCATCACTGAAAATTCAGCTGCCAGTGAGCTTCTCGTCGTCGAAGATGTCGGTCGCACCAATGCATTGCAGGTCTTCACAGTATAATTGCCTCGTTTTTAAAGTAAAATCTCTTACATTGTCTCTACTTTTGATCTTTTAAGTATTGGATTTTTAATTAGTTGTAGCAGACATCACTATAAATCCACCCTCAGTTCCATTTGTTTTTATGCTTATTTACGCTAGCTTTTCTTGTTAGGCTCGTAAGTCAACCTGAAATTGAATGACATAATTTAAATCAGTTATCGTTAAAATTTGTTATGCATGAATTTGTTATGAGATTTGTTAAGCCCTATGTTGGTGACCAGCTGAAGTCACTAAAATCCTGCGTCATTCAGTTTTTTATGTGGTAAAATTGTGAAGTGTTTATCAGGAAGTTTAAAAAAAAAGGCTATAGAGGAAGTTTTTGAAGAGGAATAAATAGGGAAAAGGAATCTTTTCTTGTTTGGAAACTGAATTTCATTGTCGCTTGTACGGGATTTGGTAAATGAACTTCGTGGAAATTTAAGAGTACTGTTGTTACTGTATTGTTGCATGATGTAATAGAGAGAATAGGCAATAACTCGAAGCATGGTTGCATAAACAGAAGAAGTACTAAGTGTGGAATACCTGGACTCTTGTCATTGCTAACTTTAGCAGTGAAAGTTGAAGGTTTACACATCGCTGAATCTTAGTTATAACTTAGATTTTATTTTCTTTCGTAAGCTGATCTTGCCCAATGCAATATAATTACTGATAATGGAGTAATTTGTTGCCAAATTTGCAGATAATTCAGTCGAGGGCATAATTTTTCGATTATACGAAGATGAAAAATTGAATTACTGTGGTTCCTACGGACTATTGAAAAATACGGCATCAATATTAGAACTGTTGTGGTTCCTTCCTTTTTTACCCTGTTGCTTTTATCAAATTGAAAGGAATGGTCTTTCACTCTTTTTTTGCCTTTGCTTCTCTCCGTGATGGTATTTGACTATGTTACGTAGTCCCACTCCGGCTGTCCCTTTCTCTTTGAATCTGCATCAGTACTAAGCTTCAGAGTACAGTATCTGTTAACCGGTGATTTCAAATTTTTTATCTGTGTATTTTTGGTATTACTCTTATTTTTTCATGTTTGATTTTATTATATGATTTTTCATTATATAAGTTTGGTATATTTGTCAGATAAGCATGCTTATCCTCAGTTATTCACTCGAGCTCCCTCGGAGCAGTATGTTTTTTTGATTTTGAACCGTGATTTTTAAAATTTCAACATTTTCACGTAATTTTTTGCTGAAGAAACGTATTATTGACCAAAATGAATTTTTTGCTCATTCAAATTGCTAGCATATCAAAGTTTTGTATCTAAGTTAGTTATCTGTTTAAATAAGAGCACCTGAATTTTGTGAAAGATTTGATATTCAGAAAGTACGTTTCTTGGAGTATTTACAGAATTCGTATTTTAATTCCAAACTTTTCACTATTAACTATCCTTGCAGCCATGTCACAAATGATGCCATTGTATTCAGCGCCGTTTCAACTGGAGCATTTGAATTATTGATACTTGATCCTTGAATTTCACAGTATTTTAATCAAACCATCTTAGTTCTAAACTTTTCCGAGTGCGGAAAAAGGTAAGAATTCTTTGTGGTATTCAGTTGTCCAACATCTTTCAATTCTTTCACCACGAGTGGTGCACTCTGCAATCATTTATCCTAATGAAGGTGGAGACATGAAGGTGGGGTATAAGCAATTCGCATTTCCTTCAGCAGCTCTTCATGAGTGATAAAAGTTGGGAAGTACTCAAACGAAGTAATTAGTCTCCCAGAGATAGCAAATTTTATATAATTTTTCACATATATAATGGTTGTATTGTTCCATTTTCCAATTTTATTACAGTTTTGTTGTACGATGACTATATTTGTTTTGTACGTTATTATTACCACATTATTTGCGTATATTTTTTTCATAAATCCCTCGATCAAGGGAACCATTTGCTCATACCTAACATATTTTTTGTTTGTTTTAAACCATAGTATAATGAAATGTGAAAGAAGTGATGTTTCTTAAAATTAGTTTTTACTAGGTTATGCTTAATATTTTCTCTTTTCTATCTCTTTCTTTGTGTTTCTTTGTGCTTGTGGATGTTGTTAATTGTACTCTTCGTAAAAAAGCTACTTGTGTCTCAAAACTTGTGTCTGATATCCTTATCTTTTCTCTTCTCTTATATATTTTGTCGTTTATTATTATTGGTAAAAGAATAAGAGAAGCTTTAATTATATTGTTGTTGCTGTTGGTTTTGCAAATATAAGAGGAGGAATGTTATTCATCTCCTATAATATACATATTTGCGGTCCCATTTAAAAGTGATATATTGATGATATCTAGTTGATGTGACAATTATGATGTAGGATGGAAGAATTCAGGAAAAGATTTTGTAATTTGTAAAAAATGGTATTAGAATGTACTTAACATGCGCATGAGGATTGGCCGTAAATACTCTTTCCCGCAAAAAATGGAAAGTATAGATAAAGTTTCAGAATGAAATAGTGGAGATTTTATTTGAAGATTATTTCTGCTGCAGAATTTGTCCATGTTACTTTTCAAGACTGATACAATTATAAAGCATATTTTTGTCTATTTGCAGAAATGGAAATTACATCTATGGATGTAGTACCACATATTGCGGATACAGTGAGCAAATCGGAAGATGCAGCGGTTTTAGTTGATGCTTTACCATATCTTGATTCGGATTATACGGAATCCGACCGACAGATGGCAATGCAGCTAATCGAAGACGAATGCCGAGTTTTCCGCCCGGTTAAAAATTATTTACAAAATATATCACCTCCTGATTTCGACGTGTTTCTGACGCCTTGTCTGATCAAAGAACATATTAGAATGTCCAAAAAGCAAGTAAGTTTCATCTTTCATTTCCTTGCCAAAATTATGTCATTTTTGTCATAATGGAAAATAATGTCAATGAGGATCTAGTGATGATGTTTAAAAGGCTTGATCTGGTCTTACTGCGCTGAGGTTTAGGGGACACTTTGGAATGCTACATTTTGTGCAGATATAAATAGAACAACAATAAAAAGATCATAGTAAATTATTTTAGCTGAGGATTCAGATTTGAGGGATAAAAATCCCTCGGAATTTTTCAGATTTATAAAAGTTATAATTCTATCATTTATATCACATGTTTATGTGTTTTGGTAGTTTCGGTCTTTTTTTCAGGAAATGGCAAAATTAGATATGTCACGATATGAATTGTCGTGTCCATCAACAACTGGACGACAGGGTGATAAAACTTCATGGAAAAAAGCACGTTCTCAAACAAATTGCTTCCTAATTTTTCGTCAAATTCTAAGCTTTGTTTTACTTTCTTCGTGTTTCTAAATAATTTGATATCAGCAGTGATAATAATAATAATGCTGACAATATTAATAGTTCAGGCTATTCGCAATGCAGCTGCTCAAAATGAGCATTTATTACTTCGTAATATCAATTTGCAACTGATGGATGAGCATGCACCACCTGTTTACCTTCGATATAATAAGGAACTCGAAACTATGCTGCATTGTGAAGAGAGGGAATTAAGAAAGGTAACAGTCTTAATTCATTTCCTAAACCTTGAATATGTCGTTTTTTGTTTCACAAGTTTTCTTGTTTTTTAACTACATTATTCATATTTCAGTTGCTTCGGGAATCTTGCAGGAGTTTGCTTGCATGGTTTAGAACTATCAATTTGTTTATTAGTTTTTATATGTCTGTTACCTTGTTCACTAGTTGATTTATTTACTTTCAGTATTTCAATTCCCAGCCTCTATTCTTGATCGCAGACTTTTACGCAGGTTTCATCTCATTTTATTTTTTATTTGAAATTTGAATTCACAAAGATTTCAGCTCCGAGAAGAAGTAATGGAAATTCATTCGAGACGACGGAAAAGTCAAATGGAAGCGGGATTGAAACTAAAAGATTTGGAACAAAATTGGGTGCAAATGGTCACCAAAAATTACAAAATGGAGCTTGCTTGCCAAGAGCTGGCCGCAGATAATGAAATGTTGGCCAAAAAAGCTAAATTAATTTCATAGATTCCCTTCCTTTTTAATGCTTTAATAATATTTGTTGTTGTCAGCACTGCTTGGCAGTAATTTGAACTTATAAATAGAAGGGATTCGTTGTGGTAGAGAGTTTTTCGGAGCTTATTCATCAATCTGTTATATAATTGGTTGTATTAAGATTCAATCGAATGTCTGCTTGTTTATAAATTTTGCATTGTTATTTTCTCAGAGTGCACATTTAATACTTCTGTATTCTACAGTGGTCATTTTCCATTATTCTTCGATCAGGATATTTTTTGGTCTTTTTGAGGACGAAACTTTTTCTGAAGTTAGAAGTTTTCATGTTGTTTGATGTTTTACTTCCAGATGAACCAGCAAAAACTAGAAATATTTATGAAAATTTCAAACTTTCGTGAGATGTTCCAAATACAAATAAACGATTTTCGATTGTTTTATATTTTAGTTTTGAAAATGTGAAAAAGCATTCGAGTGCATAGCCGTCCTTCGGAAAGATAATATAGAGAAGTAAAGAGCAGCTAGTAAAGTACAGCTGTATAGAATAATCTGTTTTTCCGATGGAGTATGTTGCTGACAAAAGATTTGAACTTTTAAATTCCATTCTCGCTATTTTTGCGCTGGTCTTTTTGGGAGGGAAGGAATATTTATGTTCATTCGTTGAAATTAACATTTTATTTGAGCTAATGTCCAAGTTTTTGCACTACTCCTATACCACCTGTGATAATTTTATTGTTTACAAATGGTGTGGAGAGAAGAGCGAAAGTGTAGTAGCAAAGCTGTTAGTTTGTTAATAGTGATGATAAGTTCCATCGATCCTGCTCTCTGTGTACACCTTCCGTCTCTTATTGTTTCTTTTTTTTAATTATTAATCAAACTCTTTTTGCAACTGTTTTCTTTTTTTATTCGAGTTTTATACAATGATGTGGAATGTTTATGAGCGTAAAAGTTTTATAAAGTTTTTATGAAAGTTTCTTTTCTCTGAATGGTATTGAAGGACACTGAAAATGGATTTAGTGGTTTGTGATTCCTGGAAGATTTGTTATTTGTTGAGTCGGTAAGATCTAATTCTTCAAGAATTGGTTATCGTAAGCACTTATGTTGATTATAATTAATTGAAAATAATGAAGGGAGGATTTTAAGCAGTTACTTAATTTGGATGACAATTAATTGGTTTATGTTTTCCCGAGGTTTATTAGTAGATGGTAAATTAGTGCGGAATTGTCGATTTGTTATGAATAACGACATTTTGACGGTTCTTCTTGCGTATTTATTTCAGAGTATTTTATTAGAATTAATAGGTTGTTGCTATCGTACAGTTCAAAGGCTGGTAGAGTGGAAATGAAATGGCAAAATTACATGATACCAATAATTGGCAGTTTTATAATTCTTGGGGTATTTTCTTTTTTTTTTTTTTTTCAATCTTCGAATGTAAGATTTATGGTAAGATGCAGTTTAATTCACGAATTAATATAGTACCTAATTTTTAACCATCTGATGTTCTTTATTGGACTACCAATGATCTCAATGCATTATTCTATATGTAGGGATCCTTTCTGAATTCTTTAAATTCTTCCAGTATTATAGATTTTGTGAGGGGAATGGTTACAACTAAAATTAAAATTAGACAATTTATTGAAATTGGTGAGAAAATGTGGATGACTAAATAGGGAAGCCAGAAGTTATTTCTGCGTAGCATATCAGTAAGCATTCATCAATGCATAATGCTAGATTCTTCCGCTTACAACAATAACATCGAGTTCATTTATAAATTCTTATCTCAAATTCGAGTTCAATTAAAATTTAATTAGATAATCCATTTTAGAGTTCATAGTTTTTAGATGTGTTTACTCTTCAGTTATCTATCGCATGAACTCACAATGTATGACATTCAGTACACTGTTTTTATAATAAGGGTATAAACTGCATGATAATATATCCAATTTCCTTTCTTTGTATAAATGCTTCGGCACCAAACTGTCAAACATTTAATTAGTGCTAATCGCAAGATAGATAGCTTATTTCTTTTTTTTTTTTTTGTCATTTATTAATCATTCTAGTATAGCATCGCAGCTCAGTTGAACTGTGATATTTTTTTAGGTATTTAGCTAATTAAGCATTTAAGTTAATCATGTTAATTTTTCTGTTTATTCTGATTCGGAATTTGACTTACAGTCATGTTATCTGCTTGGATATTATCAGTTTTCGTTCGGATGGATTTTGATTCTTGTCATTTTGCATGGTTTGAAATCATATATGTGGCGACGACGCGAGAAACGACTTTTAGGTTTGAGGCAAGCTGCTCTAAAAGAACGAGAGGTTAGTTTTAATTGTTTTTTAGGAAGCGGATGAAATATTTGGCAGTAATTTTAAATTTATATCGTTTTAAACTTACGAAACATGTTTTTGTTCAATTACAGGTTATATTAGCGCAGCTGCAGGATCTTCCAGCTTGGGTTCAATTTCCAGACACCGAACGAGTTGAATGGCTTAATAAAGTTTGTTTTTAGTCAAGCAATTTGGTATCACTTATTACATGGATATTATTGCTTTCTATCAATTCTTATATGTCATAGAATGTTTTCATTAGTAACTCCATCTGATTTTTCCCAACAGTGAGGATGTTACAATGATGCAAAAAACCTAAAAAAACTTGCAAAAAAACTTTATTATCAATTTTATGCTGTCATCGTTTACTGGAGGTTTTTTTCTAATTACATTTCTTCAGGTCATATTGCAACTTTGGCCGTACATTACCGACTATTCCAAATATTTCATGCGTGAATACATCGAACCTCAGGTTAAATCGCAGTTGCCGGCAATTTTTAGGTCATTCAAATTCACAAAAATGGATATGGGTGATATTCCTTGTCGCGTCGGTGGCATCAAAGTAACTATAATAAAATTTTGTAAACTTTCGCCAAAATTTTTTTCCAGTACAAAACTGATTTTTGGGTTAGTAAAAATTTCGGACAATTTTTGGAAGAGGTTGTTCAAGGCTTTGTTGTCGAGTTTTATTGAACCTTAAATTGTCAGCCGGTTATGCTAACTCATATTTACTTGTATGACAAATGTCTTAAAAGTCTCTGCTCGTTATTAATTAATTCCCACTTTTCCTGGTTAGGTTTATACACATAATGTTGGTCGAGATCGCATTATAGTTGACATGGACATCGCTTATGCTGGAGACGCCGACTTTGATGTTAGTGTTGCAGGTTTCACTGGTGGTTTAAACGAGTTACAGGTGCAGTATTTTGTACTTTCATACTGTTTCTAGAAATTAGAACACATTTAGAAAAATTTCTATTGACTTTATTCCTATGGTTTATACTATCACTTGGTGAAAAATACAATTTGACATGATTTTACAGTTTAACTTCATGTGATTCCGATATAACTTGATAGCATGTTTCAGTTTTCTGGGAAGTTAAGAGCTGTTTTGAAGCCGTTATTACCGTACCCACCAATGGTTGGTGGTGTTTCCGGGTTCTTCTTAGAAAAACCGGTGAGTCATGAGATTTAAAGCGAACAAAATTCTTGTTTCAGAATCAACTGGAAGTTATAATAATACCTTTTCCGTTCTCTTCTATAGAATTTGTTACATTTTAAATTTTTGCATTTTGATTCTTTCAGATTTCAGAAAATTGATTTTAATCTGACTGGCATGGGCGAATTCGTGGAATTGCCTGGTTTGTTAAATGCAATTCGTGCAATAATTGATTCACAGGTGGATAATTTAAACATTTCTTTTATTTCTGCCATGAAAGTCCAATAGTTTTTTCTGTTTCCCTCATTACAATTTCCCTCTCATTTGTTAAAGAGATTAGTAGGATTTCCAGAAATACAAAAAATTTTCTAGGTTTCGGCTTTATGTGTGCTTCCGAATGAAATTGTTATCCCACTGGCTCCAAATGTCGATATCACCAGGTTGCACTTACCAGAGCCTGATGGTGTACTTCGTTTGAAAATTGTGGAAGCTAGAAATTTAGAAAATAGAGATGTAAAATTCACAAAGAATATGGCAAGCGATCCATACTGCCAGATACAAGGTATCATTTTTTAATTGTGAGCAAACCTTTGTAATTTTTATGACGACGCTCTGTTGATTTCAAATATTTACTGTACTGGATGTTATGTTACCTCTACAAATCTATACTTTTCAAAAATACGATTGCTGAAAAAGATGTACTATCCTTTTATAATTCGCTCATATATCTAACAATTCAGTTGCCAATTAATTTATACTCGGTATATTTATTAAATTGGTTGGATGTCTTTCGTATAATCTTTTGAGCTTTTTCAGTTGGTTCTCAGTTCTACAGAACCAAAACGATTGATAATAATCTGAATCCAATTTGGAATGAATATTTTGAATTTGTCGTTGATCAAGTTAATGGGCAAAAATTGCGTATAGAATTATTTGATTATGATAAAACGAGTAGTGATGAGGAATTGGGGACTTTGACGATTGACCTACTTTATATTAAAGAAAAAAGAAATCTTGATGATTGGTTCCCATTAGATGCATGTAAACACGGCGACATACACATCCAGGTATTGCTACTTTTATAAAGAGTGATAGGCTCCAGTAACTAAATCTTGCTTTTCATTTCTTTTATTTTCTTTTAAAATAGTAGAAATTTTTTTTTTCATACTCATAGCAGAGTGAAACATTCAAGAATGGATTTAATATTGGAAAAGTAGCACCAGATAAGTGAGTAGGACAGAATTTCCTTATAAATTTTCTCGCAGCTTATTGATTTGGTTGCACTTTATCAATTATTTATTTTGCATAAATAAATATTCATGGCTAATACTGAAATAAAATTTTCATTTGTCTTAGGTACAAATTAGAAAAATTATAACGAGTTATAGTTCCGATAAGAATTTCTTGTGGATTTTTAGGCTGCCTGGATGAACTTGTCATCTTCACTTCTAGACCTTACTTGTCAGGAATTTGGAAGCTATTGGTTCAATACTGATAAACCAGTACATCCTGCACTGCTTATGGTCTTTATTGATAGTGTGTCCGATTTGCCAGTAAGTTTATGACTTTCGTAGGATCAAATACTACTGAAAGAAATATTATTGACGCTAATTTGCCGGAGTCAGTTACGTTAATACACCATATCAACACTTAGATGGCGAATGACGCTTCTTTATGTGCATTACATATGCTATATAGACTATATTAGTTGCACTCCATCCTGTACTGATAGTGACCCAGATTTCTTTTAATTTAAGATAGTGAAAAGCAGTTAAGCCAAAGTAAAATGCTCGTAGTTATTCTAACGAATAAGGAATACTGGTAGAGACCTGGAAGCAAAATAACGCTTTATTCTTTTCTTTGTAACAATCTGCGCATATTTAAAATTTTCATTTTGCAGTTTTACGTTCACTTGATTTTTTCTAGTATCCAAAAGCAAAACTAGAACCATCGCCGTATATTATGGTAAGTCTTGGTAAAAATTTCCAACAAACGCCGACAAAATTAAGAACTGTCAATCCGTTATTCCAGAGTAAAGTTTTGTTTTTCGTTCGTCAACCCGAAGGAGAAGAGCTGAAATTCGAGGTAAGACATAGTTGACTCGCACCGTTTAATTAGTGATTTTTTTTTGAATAACATTCCAAACACTTGAAAACGATGCCTTTGTTAGTTGTATCGTTTATACTTACTTTCTCATGCGTATTTTTGCACATCATTTTGAGGAAGAATGTCGCTGTCAAGTACTTTGAAATTCCCGAACAGGTGTTTAGTTAGTACGAAAGTAAAGTAACATATAACTGTCTGTTTTTCATTCGTGGAGAGTTGCTACGAGGTTAAATCTTGATCTATACAATGAAGAATCTTTAGTCTCTGTTTTCTTCTGACAATTTTTGTACAAGGTGATTCATATCAAACTACTTCATAAAATTTTTAAGGCTATTGATCATACAACAAAACGTTCCCTAGGCGAATTGGTTTTGCCGTTGAAGACAATTTTACGGGAGCAAAATTTAGAGTTTCATGAACAAACCTTCCCATTAACTCTTGGAATTCATCAGAGTTCAATGGTCATCACAGCGCGCATCAGGGTAATTATCGGGAAAAATATCTATTAGATTTAGTTATGTTATGTTAGGTATCTTTAATTTGGTCTTTAGATTTCATTTTTTGGAAATATTAAGGGTTTATTTTAAAACATGTCAAAGTGTCAAATATCATCCTTCCCCAAGGGAGTTGAAACCGTTAGCATTTAATTCTGACAAAACGATTCATCTGTTCAACGAAATAATTATATTACGCTCAGAGTATCATAATAACTGTAAGATACCCTTGTAGATCTGAAGGATATTTTGAACCTCTTTGCTTGTTCAGATTAAAAAAGGTTCTTGGTATATATATATATATATATATATATATATATATATATATATATATATATATATATATATATATATATATATATATATATATATATATATATATAT